CTCTCCGGTGATGCCGTCCCGGACAACAACAGGGTTGGTGTGCGTAGATTCGAGGATTTTCTTAAACGCCATGAACTGTTTGGCAATCGAGGCATGCTGGGAAGTGGATAAAAAGTGCATATGGAATTCTTGCTGCAGAAGCTCGCATGGCAGATTCCGATGTGTGACATAGGCATTCCAGTGTTTGTTCTAAGACTTTGAGCGATTACCGGATACATCATCTCCAAAATAGTCGACGAAGCTGGTGTACAGTGGATCTCCCTGCGCAACCTCTCGCAAGTGATTGGGCATGTTCTCAGGATATCTCCAGCTAGTTGCTCGCTCTAAGAATGAATTATCTATCAGTGAAGCTTTAAAATTGCCAAAAGAAAATAGCCCTACCATCCCAGCTGTGCGGTAGTACCTTGGCTTCTGCCAAATCATGGTAGTTGTAGCAAAGGGCCTTCACTTCAATATCGATAGATTCAGCATCGTTAACTGAAGCTATACCCTTCAAAATTTTATTCAGCCTCCAATTGTTGGACCTGCTTGAGAGGACGAAGGGCATGGCTCACACTTTGGTCAATTGTTACAGTAAATGCATCTGCATGAACTTCACCATGGACTACAACCCAGCGTATAGGAATAACAAAGGTTCCATCCTGCAGCTTGGCCAGCTCGTTGACATAGAAGTGCTTACCAGCACCGGCATCGTACATCGGGCTGAGCATCCGTGTGTCCATCTTGTGGCGCCACTTATTAGCATGCCAGACCTCACGGATTCCACCCTCTGGGACCTCAGGATAGACATGGATATGTGGTCGAGTCTGAGGGTTTGCCCAATCCTATTAAAATTACAGACAAGTATGAGCTGAGTTGTACCATAATTTTTCCACAGCGTCACGCACCTTGGTGATGATACTCCGAATATCATTCATGTAGAAGACATTCCCGAGTTCAGACTGGCATTGTATAGAGGGTACGCCACACTTCTGGCGTAGTTTCTCTTGTGTATGGCGAAGCTTGTAGAGCAAAGGGACATCACGGGCACCTGTCTCCTTGAGAGTCCCAAGAAATACCTGCATGAGTGAATTGGAGACAGGGCACCGAGGTAGGTTATCGATGGTATCAAGAAGAAACATCTGTAATACAAGAGTGTGTCAACTAAGATCAGGTTCATAAGCACTAGACTCACTGTCTTTGACTCATACGGAGCCCATTGGTTCGACGACGCAGCATCAGCATCGCTTGGCGCAAAAGCAGGCAGCTCATAGTTAGCTGCATCCTCTACAGACGGCGGGTCCAGTTCTATTATGCAAGAACAGAAGCATCAGTATCTGAGTTGTTACACAAGGACAAGCAGGCAAGATGCATACCGGTGCTGGCAAGAAAGTCTGCTAGAAGTTTGTCTGGGTCCTCAGAGCCAAGGCGAAGCTCGAGGAATGGATCAGAGCCAGGGCTTTCATTCCCGAAGCCTAGGTCCTGAGCTGTGGAATGGGCGTTCCAGATTCCAAAGGCCTCTGCATTCTGCTTGAGTTGACGTTGACTCTCTGCCGCTGCCAAATTAGGATCCTCTCTGGCATTAAACGTGAACGCGTGTGGATCCTGTGAGAAGTCAGCCCAAAACTCCTCTTCTGCTGTGCTGGACGCATTTCTCGCTAAAGCAGGCTGTCTAGGTTGTATCAAGTTAATTGATTGCAGTGCCAATGAAGCCCCAGCCCTTTGCTGTTCTCTGCGGTTGAGTGTTTCGGCGATGGCTGCAACTTGAGCTCCTCAGCACTCATGCTCCTCTACCGCTTTCACGTGGGACCTTCCCTTGATGTGAGCTGCCACACTCTTCTTGCAAATTGTTGGTCCTCCCTCTTCAGGAGAGCAGAGAACACAGCGCACTTCGGAGCCATCTCCTGAAGGCATAAAATCTGGCTGCCCCGTAAGCATTGTTGCTTGCCTAAATTTCTATAAAATAAACTGACATTTTTTGTACAATTCTTGGCGAGACATGCTTCCAGGACGTGAACACTGACAGGTGAAGTAAAAAATGGAGACGGCTTATAATGTGCGTGGTTTTACTCACGCCAATGGATCGCGCGCGGCCTTTATTGATTGAGACATGAGCAGTCCTTCAAAAGGCCACCAACTGACCACAATATAAAACCACAGAACAGCACGCCATTCTTCCTCTTGAACACACATCGACATGCCCTCTGCGTCTTCTGCAACTGCCTTCCGTGATGAGCTTGAACAGTTTGCTAATGCCAACAGCTCGCCACCTGGCAGCCCCAGGCAACCGGCCACGGTTCTCGGAAAACGAATTCGCCCCGCTGAGAGCACAAGTGATTCGGAGGAAGAGGACACTAGCACTATCAGAGGCCGCTCTTGAGATCCTACTACCAGTCAAGATGATACTTCCCCTACCCACTCTACAGCACAGCCTGCAGCTAGTACCAACACAGTCAACCGGAACGTCCTCAAGTACGCCAAGAGACTGGGAGCAAAAACGAAGCTTCGTGCCGAGCAGCAAGAGAAGCTCAATTCTTTTGCCACGGTATGTCTTTCTATTGGGCCACCCTCAATTCGTAGCTAGCGGGCTTACAGTTTTCAATGTAGGACTCTTCGGCCACTCAGGAGATGAAGACCTTCTCACTTCTACTCGCCATTCAGCAGCGGCAAGATGAGTTTATCACTATGCAGGCTCCATGGGAGCCCTCGGACGAACTAATTGTAAGCATGGTACGCCCCGTTCAACTGTATTCGGTGCCGGCTGACTTTGCGGCAGGCCAACATCCGAAACTACACAATGGGCGTGTTACTTTCCAGCCGGCTCGCAACATACAAGGGTGTCGTGCCCAACAACTATGTTATGGTATGTCCTTATATTTGGGTGTTTCTATGTACTACTAATATCTGTATATCTGTCTTACAGGGCATCCTCAAACGCTACCAGTTCGACTTGCCAGCAGATATCGAGCGCAACCATGGCCGCTGGTCCAAGGTGATTAAGGCCATCCAGAATGAAATGACCGAGCAACGGGCGAAGATCAAAAAGACAGTAAGTCGAACTTATTCCAGATCTTCTTGACATGTCAGTAGTGTGCTAATGCTTGTCTCACTTAGCTCCGTGCTGGCACTGACGGTGATGACCATCAGGAACACCTCAACATCTCAAGCTC